AGCCCCCCGTCGCACCGCCTGTTACCCCGGTGACCACGGACGCGCCGGTTGCCCCTCCCATTACGCCACCGACGACTGCGGAGCCCCCCGTCGCACCGCCTGTTACCCCGGTGACCACCGACGCGCCGGTTGCCCCTCCCGTCACACCTCCAACCACTGTGGAGCCTCCCGTCGCACCACCTGTAACCCCGGTGACCACAGACGCACCAGCGGCCCCCCCGGTCACACCACCGACGACCGCGGAGCCCCCCGTTGCACCACCTGTAACCCCGGTGACCACAGACGCACCGGCAGCCCCTCCCGTCTCACCACCGACCACGGCGGAGCCCCCCGTCGCACCGCCTGTAACCCCGGTGACCACCGACGCGCCAGTAACCCCTCCCGTCACACCTCCAACCACTGTGGAGCCTCCCGTCGCACCACCTGTAACCCCGGTGACCACAGACGCGCCGGTAGCCCCTCCAGTCACACCACCGACGACTGCGGAGCCCCCCGTTGCACCACCTGTAACCCCGGTGACCACAGACGCACCGGCAGCCCCTCCCGTCACACCACCGACGACTGCGGAGCCCCCCGTCGCACCGCCTGTTACCCCGGTGGTCACAGACGCACCAGTTGCACCTCCCATTACGCCCCCGACGACTGCGGAGCCCCCCGTCGCACCGCCTGTTACTCCAGTGACCACAGACGCACCAGTGGCCCCTCCCGTTACGCCGCCAACTACTGTGGAGCCCCCTGTATCCCCGGTGACCACCGACGCACCAGTAGCCCCTCCCGTCACACCACCGACGACCGCGGAGCCTCCCGTCGCGCCGCCTGTATCCCCGGTGGTCACAGACGCACCAGTTGCACCTCCCATTACGCCCCCGACGACTGCGGAGCCCCCCGTCGCACCGCCTGTTACTCCAGTGACCACAGACGCACCAGTGGCCCCTCCCGTTACGCCGCCAAACTACTGTGGAGCCCCCTGTATCCCCGGTGACCACCGACGCACCAGTAGCCCCTCCCGTCACACCACCGACGACTGCGGAGCCCCCCGTCGCACCGCCTGTAACCCCGGTGACCACCGACGCGCCAGTAGCCCCTCCGGTCACACCACCGACGACTGCGGAGCCCCCCGTCGCACCGCCTGTATCCCCGGTGGTCACCGACGCGCCAGTGGCCCCCCCGGTCACACCACCGACGACCGCGGAGCCCCCCGTCGAACCGCCTGTAACCTCGGTGGTCACAGACGCACCAGTTTCCCCCCCGGTCACGCCACCGACGACCGCGGAGCCCCCCGTTGCACCACCTGTCACCCCGGTGACCACCGACGCGCCAGTAGCCCCTCCGGTCACACCACCCACGACCGCGGAGCCCCCCGTTGCACCACCTGTAGCCCCGGTGACCACAGACGCACCAGTAGCCCCTCCCGTCACACCACCGACGACTACGGAGCCCCCCGTCGCACCGCCTGTAGCCCCGGTGACCACCGACGCACCAGTAGCCCCTCCGGTCACACCACCGACGACCGCGGAGCCCCCCGTTGCACCACCTGTAACCCCAGTGACCACAGACGCGCCAGTAGCCCCTCCGGTCACACCACCCACGACCGCGGAGCCCCCCGTTGCACCACCTGTAACCCCGGTGACCACAGACGCACCAGTTTCCCCCCCGGTCACGCCACCGACGACCGCGGAGCCCCCCGTTGCACCACCTGTCACCCCGGTGACCACCGACGCGCCAGTATCCCCTCCCGGTCACACCACCGACGACCGCGGAGCCCCCCGTCGCACCGCCTGTATCCCCGGTGACCACCGACGCGCCAGTAGCCCCTCCAGTCACACCACCGACGACCGCGGAGCCCCCCGTCGCACCGCCTGTATCCCCGGTGACCACCGACGCACCAGCGGCCCCCCCGGTCACACCACCGACGACCGCGGAGCCCCCCGTCGAACCTCCTGTAACCCCGGTGGTCACAGACGCACCAGCGGCCCCCCCGGTCACACCACCGACGACCGCGGAGCCCCCCGTCGCACCGCCTGTCACCCCAGTGGTCACAGACGCTCCAGTGGCCGCCCCGGTCACACCACTAACCCCTGACGAGCCCCCTGTTGATCCTCCGGCAACACCAGTGGTCACCGACGCACCAGTTTCCCCCCCGGTCACACCACCAACCACTACGGAGCTCCCAAACAATTCCCCCACCACCCTGCCAGTAGCAACCGAGGTGGGTGATCCACTCATTGACGAGAACATGTCCAGTCTACCAACATTTGTTGAGACTTAAAATCTGTTTTCCTTGCTACTGCCTCTGCCGACCAAGTCTACTGTTGACGTTTGTGTCACGTGCAGGCCCACTTCCGTCTCCTTCGTGGAAGGATGTCCCGTCATGTTTTCAAGTGCAGTCCGTCTGGTCAGAGAAAGAAAATCTGCTTTTCCTCAACGCAGTAGTGGAAACGCACGAGTACTTGGGAGCATGGGTCATCGAATTTACCGCGGCTCGAAAGGCTCCTGTTTGCACCTTCTACAAAGAAGTTCCAGCCCTTGCGGGTGTGTAGACGAGGTTTGATTTTTCCGTTATCAGACTCGCAACAAAACTAGGCTCACTTGGCGAGGCTTTGGAAGCGGCCAGAAACCAACCCCGAGATTAGATCGGGGTTTTACCAAGAGCACGCACAGCATACCTACGGCCGGACCAGGAATAAACCCATAGTTTGAACCGAACAAGACCAGCTGTCAGTCGTTTGTGAAGTGTTTGGATGCAGTGACGTGTCTCACAGCAGACGCATTGTCAACCCTCGAGCAAAACCTACCGAGCGACAAGAGGTAACCCCCCCCTAACAAAAAAAAAGAAGAGGACGCGGCCAAAAGCCTCGAAAAGCACACGCGATGTTAGCTCCCGTGGGAGAGTTCGCACGAATGTGCTGTGTGACTGTTTTCCCTATTTCCTCTGTGTTGAGTAACCCTTTTATTTCCCGATCCTTCTCCCTGCTCTCGTGCGGTGTCGGGTCATCTTGGTCGACTCGGACACTCTTTTTTCCTCCGCAGGCTCCTGTGGATACGCCCTTGGTACCGCCGACCCCGACGGTGGAACCAGTTCAGGTTCGTTTCATGGGGCGTCGGTGGTATGATCGTTGTTTTTTATTGCCCGGACCAAGAGATTGGTATTATTGTCAACGGGTGTGCCTTCTCGTTTCGAATCCCGGTGTGTCCCTCCCGACCCCGCCTTCAACAAACACACGTTGCGCTGCCGGCTTTGCTCATTTTTGGCAAGAGCAACCGATGTTGTAACCCCTTGAATCCAAAGCAGGCTTTGAGCTGCTGCTGCGATGCGTATGTGGCAACGTAGTTTACTCGCTCGCAGGCATTTTCTTTGTTTGCGTCGCGGAATTCTCCATTCAATTTCACGAAAATTTTGCGCTCCCGTACCGCTCGTTGTTGCTCCGCGCTACTACGGCCACACTCTCCAGCCACCCGTTACACCGACGGCAACTCCTGTAGCATTACCCACGCCTACCGAACCCCCGGTCACACCACCGACACCGGTGACAACGGCCGCGCCAGTGGACGCTCCAGTCACTCCGACACCCCCCCCGGTAGATGCGCCCCCCGCGCCCACCGTTGCACCCCAGCCAGTAGCGCCCCCCGTTACGGCGACTGCGCCACCGGCCGCGGCACCAACGCCAACAGTTACCGAACCCCCCGCCACCACGGTGACAACGCCGCCGGCCACGGCGCCAACGCCGACGGTAACTACCCCCCCCGCGACGGCGCCAACGCCAACAGTTTACCGAGCCCCCCGCCACCACGGTTACAACGCCGCCGGCCGCGGCGCCAACGCCGACGGTAACTACCCCCCCCGCGACGGCACCAACGCCAACAGTTACCGAGCCCCCCGCCACGGAGACAGCGCCGCCAGCTACGGCACCAACGCCGACGGTAAGTGCCCCCCCCGCTACGGCGCCAACGCCGACAGTTACTGAACCCCCCGCCACAGGTACAACGCCGCCGGCTGCGGCGCCGACGCCGACAGTAACCGTCCCCCCGGCGACGGCGCCAACGCCAACTGTTACTGAACCCCCCGCCACGGGGACAACGCCGCCGGCTGCGGCACCGACGCCGACAGTAACCGCTCCCCCGGCGACGGCGCCAACACCAACTGTTACTGTGCCCCCCGCCACCACGGGTACAACGCCGCCGGCTACGGCGCCGACGCCGACAGTAACCACCCCTCCGGCTACGGAGCCAATGCCAACAATTACTGAACCCCCCGCCACGGGTACAACGCCGCCGGCTACGGCGCCGACGCCGACAGTAACCACCCCCCCCGCTACGGCGCCAACAACAGTTACTGAGCCCCCCGCCACGGGTACAACGCCGCCGGCTACGGCGCCGACGCCGACAGTAACCACCCCCCCCGCTACGGCGCCAACAACAGTTACTGAGCCCCCCGCCACGGGTACAACGCCGCCGGCTACGGCACCAACGCCGACAGTAACCCCCCCCCCCGCTGCGGCACCTACACCCACGGTAACCGCCCCCCCCGCCACGGCGACAACGCCGCCAGCAACGGCACCTACACCAACCGTAACCACCCCACCTGCCACCGCTCAACCGGTCTCTCAACAACCTGTGTCGGTGCGCGCTGTGTTTTTTTTTGTCTTCGATAGATGCGTCTCTTTTTCGGGTGTAATGCGTTTGGTTTAGTTTTGCACGCTGGAGGTGTGAGGGATTGTCGTCGGATTGACCTGGTTGGTCAGGCCTTTCAGTGACCCATGTTTTCTGGTTGAGTCGATGATAACGTGTACGCTGCCCTCATTGGTGTCTGTTTTGCCTCGAGACGTTGGAGCTTGCGGCGTGCCACGTAAGTCACGTGACGGCGAATTCGGTTCACGCTGAAGCGCTTAGTTGCACGGTGGACGAGCGTGCTGGTATACGCGTGGTGTCGACGCGTTGCGTGGGGTTTATAAATCGTTCCCGCCTGTGCGTTTACCGCCCACATTGCCCTGGTGTTTTGTATGATGACAGGCACCGGCGGCACCGACGATTCCTACGCAGGGACCGGTAGAACAGCCTCCTACGTCGCTCGAGGTACGTGGCCGAGTATTGAAGTTCGCCTTTTTCGGACGTGATGAGTTGCGTTTCCTCTTGCGTCACCGATAGTTCGAGGTAGGCTGGTTGTTGGTGCGTCTGTAGTCTGCGCAGAGGCCCGTCGGCGCGCGTGTTGGTGGCGGAGGTGGCGATGGCGGTGCGGTGAGCTTTGCACGTATTTCTCGGCCCTCGCCCCCTAACGCACGCGCGCTCGCTCCGCTGTTTATCTGTTCCTGCAAATTCTGTTCGATTCACCAATCCCTGGTCCCGCATCTTCAACCCGTGAAAACGACACCCCCGCACAACACCCCACCCCCCGTGGCAATCCCCCGCCCCCCTCGCGACGCCCAATACCGACTGCTATCAATGCCGAACTCATCGAAACAAATCCTACAAATTGTTGGTTATCTTCTTCGGCATCAACCCGCTTTGAACGATGCTTCAGCCGACGGCAACAACACAACCTGTAGCGGCTCCCGTGGAGCCACCCTCCACGGCAACAACACAACCGGCCGCGGCGCCGACACCAACGGTTACGGCGCCCCCCGCCACTGGGACATCGCCACCGGCTACGGCACCGACTCCAGCAGTTACCGCGCCCCCTGCCACGGGGACGACACAACCGGTTACCGCACCAGTAACGGCACCAGCGCCCGCGGTTACCACCCCTCCCGCTACAGGGACATCGCCACCGGCGGCGGCACCAGTAACGGCACCAACGCCACCCGCTACCACCCCTCCCGCTACAGGGACAACGCCACCGGCGGCGGCACCAGTAACGGCGCCAACGCCACCCGCTACCACCCCTCCCGCTACAGGGACATCGCCACCGGCGGTTGCACCAGACACGGCGCCAACGCCACCCGCTACCACCCCTCCCGCTACAGGGACAACGCCACCGGCGGTTGCACCAGTAACGGCACCAACGCCACCCGCTACCACCCCTCCCGCTACAGGGACATCGCCACCGGCGGCGGCACCAGTAACGGCGCCAACGCCACCCGCTACCACCCCTCCCGCTACAGGGACATCGCCACCGGCGGCGGCACCAGTAACGGCACCAACGCCACCCGCTACCACCCCTCCCGCTACAGGGACAACGCCACCGGCGGTTGCACCAGTAACGGCGCCAACGCCACCCGCTACCACCCCTCCCGCTACAGGGACAACGCCACCGGCAGCGGCACCAGTAACGGCACCAACGCCACCCGCTACCGCCCCTCCCGCTACAGGGACAACGCCACCGGCAGCGGCACCAGTAACGGCACCAACGCCACCCGCTACCACCCCTCCCGCTACAGGGACAACGCCACCGGCGGTTGCACCAGTAACGGCGCCAACGCCACCCGCTACCACCCCTCCCGCTACAGGGACAACGCCACCGGCAGCGGCACCAAACACGGCGCCAACGCCACCCGCTACCGCCCCTCCCGCTACAGGGACATCGCCACCGGCGGTTGCACCAGTAACGGCGCCAACGCCACCCGCTACCGCCCCTCCCGGTACAGGGACATCGCCACCGGCGGTTGCACCAGTAACGGCGCCAACGCCACCCGCTACCACCCCTCCCGCTACAGGGACAACGCCACCGGCGGCGGCACCAGTAACGGCACCAACGCCACCCGCTACCACCCCTCCCGCTACAGGGACAACGCCACCGGCGGTTGCACCAGTAACGGCACCAACGCCACCCGCTACCGCCCCTCCCGCTACAGGGACAACGCCACCGGCGGTTGCACCAGTAACGGCGCCAACGCCACCCGCTACCACCCCTCCTGCTACAGGGACAACGCCACCGGCGGTTGCACCAGTAACGGCGCCAACGCCACCCGCTACCGCCCCTCCCGCTACAGGGACAACGCCACCGGCGGTTGCACCAGTAACGGCACCAACGCCACCCGCTACCGCCCCTCCCGCTACAGGGACAACGCCACCGGCGGTTGCACCAGTAACGGCACCAACGCCACCCGCTACCGCCCCTCCCGCTACAGGGACAACGCCACCGGCAGCGGCACCAGACACGGCGCCAACGCCACCCGCTACCACCCCTCCCGCTACAGGGACAACGCCACCGGCTACGACGCCAACTCAACCAGTAACCGCCCCCCCCGTCACGGCGCCAACGCCACCCGCTACCGCCCCTCCCGCTACAGGGACAACGCCACCGGCAGCGGCACCAGACACGGTGCCAACGCCACCCGCTACCACCCCTCCCGCTACAGGGACAACGCCACCGGCTACGACGCCAACTCAACCAGTAACCGCCCCCCCCGTCACGGGGACAACACCACCGGCTTCGGCACCAACGCCTGTATCCGAAACCCCTGCTGTTGCCCCGACCCCAGTAATCCCGACCCTGTTGCCTGTCGCAACACCTCCTGAACCTCCCGCTGCTTCCGATTCGCTGCAGCCTGTTGTGGCGCCTACGGCTTCTGCGGCGGTGACCAATGCGCCTGTGGATGCGGCCCAGCCAGTGGCACCGGGGACAATCCCGCCAGTGGCACCGGGGACAACGGTTCCCCCTGCCACGGCTCCGACCGCGCTGGTGTGTGTGTGTATTTTTTTATTTTTTAACACTGTTCCTTTGATTTACAACGAGGTGTGCCGCATCTTGTTGTTTTATTCTTCTGTGACCAGTTCGGGTGTCTGAAGACACTGAGCGGAGACCATTTGTTCACCATACGGACAACAACGCTGTCAAGTATCGATCGTGTTGGTTTTTGTCCCGAAACAATTGGGTGGCTCTGGTGTCGGTGTTGGGTATGTTTCGTTTATGGGGTGTGCGTCCACACTGAGTACGGTACGCAGCGATATGATGACGTTGGGCTTGTGTCATGCCCTTGTTGGTTTGTTGCTGCACGACTAGATCGTGGCAGATACTCATGTACGGGATCTCTGTCGTTTGCCTCAAATGTCTCGCACCGCCCTGGTGCTGCGCATTCTGTGTGTATTTCGGCTGTGTGGTTCCAGGCGCCGAGTGCTGAGCCTGTGATTGGGGTACAGCCGAGCGTCCCTCCAGGTAAGCAGGAGAAACAAGGGTGTCATCGCTCGTTTGTTTTTCAGGTCTCGCCACTTTTTCATGAACGCTTGGTATCCATCGTGTTTTTCTTGGACGCTGTCTGCGAAAAGGCAGATTCGAGCACATGCACGGTCCGTGGCGCGTGTCGTTTAGTTTTTACTTGCGTAGGCCGCCACATCCTTTCCACCCCTATCTGTTGAGTAGGCCGCTGCGTTCTTCGCCACCCCTTCTATGCTACAGTAGCGTTCTATCTTGGTAACGACAAGCCTGCCGGCTCGCGAGAAGGTTTTGACTTGTGGTCTTTCCCGCCCCTCCTCCGCCGCCTCCCGCCCGCTCGAAGTCGTCGCTCCCTCAGCAGCAATCGGACAGGACCCTACCGTGGACCCGATAGCCGTGGTGCCTTCGCCGCCACCGGCGGCCGTGGTTCCCTCGCCCCCGCCGGCCCCTGTGGTCGGGGCGCCGCCTACGACTACGATTACCAACTCGCCCGCCGCGGTGCCGGGTGCGCCCACGGCTGAGCCGGCGCTAGCGCCGGTGGTCCCCGTGCCCCCCGGACAGACCGCCGCCCCCGCCGCCAGGGACCTGCCCATCACCGGCATCCCGACGCCGGCCCCGATCGCCGGCGGCACAGCCCGCCCGGCCGCTCCCATCGTGGCGCCGGTGGTCCCCGGCGCCCCGACGTTATCCGGCACCACGGCGCCCGTCGATCCGGCGGATATCCCCAAGACGCCGGCGCCGGTGCTGCCGCCGGACCAGCTGCCGCCAACACCGGCGCCCGCGACGCAGCCGACACCGGCGCCGCTGGCCCCGGGGAGCACGCGGGCTCCGGTGCCGACTCCGGTGCCGGTGGCCACTCCCGCGCCTTCGACGAATGCGCCTAGCGTGAGCGGGGCGCTGACAATGTCGCTGGCGGCGATGGAGCAGTGCGAGGACGGGTGCGAGGTCGGGCTCGCGAACGCTTTCGACGTTCAGCCTTACCTGGTGAGTTTTGGCAGAAAGTAAAATGGTCTCGGGTGTGGCGACATGTTCGCCAGGGTGTTGTATTTCTATTCCATGTGCTAGCGACATTGAAATATTCTCTCCGGCCCCGTAAGGGGGATTTGCCGGTGGCCTAGACACCGTGTCGGCGGAACTAAACGTTGTGTCTCCCCGATGACCGCCGTTCAATTGCACGCAGGTTCGATGTAGCTGCCCCGAAGTCGAAATCTCCCGGAGGTCCTTGGGAGGCTGGCTGACAGAGGGGTGGAACTCGACGACCGTGAGCCCAACAGAGGTGAGTGTAGAGAGGCCGCCGGGATTAGCTGCCTTCCCGGCTAATTGTCTGTGCGGTGGTTGTTTCGTGACCGATATAGCCCCTTTTAGAAGAAGCTTACCGCGGCGTTTGTCCTTGTGGGTCGTCATGTGACGACGGCCTTTTTTGCGTGGGGGGAGGGGGGGGGCACCAAGTCTCATGCGCAACGCGTCTGTTGGTACAGCGCTGTGATCAATCGTGCATAGGGATTGGTCCCACATCGTTCTCCTCTTTTTTATGTGGCGTCTCTGATTTTTTTTTTCGCTCGTCGACACCACACAGGGCTCCTACTACCTGCGGAGGCGTCTGGAGGAAACCAGCGACGCAGGTTTCGTGGTGACCGTGCCGGGAACCACAACCTCTGGTCTCATCCAGTCCATCAACTACTTCCAGAACAACTTCGATCGTGTTTCGGAAGCGCTGGGCGTGGACTCGGAGAACGTGAGTTTTCTTTCTTTCTTTCTTTCTTTTTCGTGTCGACTCTTTGTGTCTGGTATCGGTCCTCCGTGTGCATGGTACATGGTTTAGTGTGTTTTTCAGAGAGATCAGCACATCCATGTGTCCCCTCTCTCTGGAGTCTAAACGTGGATTTCAGTTCGTTGAACGGGTGTCTCCCTCCCCCGCCAAACCCACCTTCCCGGGTCCTCGCACGCGGGACGTTACCCGCAAGCAGGTCCAGTTCTCGTCTCTCCAGTTCAGCGCTACTTCCTTCTCGCCCATCACGGAGGAGGCCAGCAACAACGACGTGCAGCTGGTCGTTAACCCCCCAGCGTCGGACGCGTCGGCTGCCGCCGTGGGGATGTTCGTGCTGTTCCTGGTGGCTCTTCTACTCGGCACCTGCGGGTGCCTGTGGGCGATCTTGGGCTTCTGCAGGTGTGTGTCATTTGTCATTTTTCGTTTGTCGTTATTGTAGTTTGCATCGACCGCGCTAACCGGCTGACCAGTGAAGACAAGACACGTCAGTGCGGGTGTGGCTCTTGCGATACTCACACACGCACACCCTCCGTTATACACCCGTGTGCCTGGCATGCATCTTTTTGTTTCTTGCGAGAAGGCAACGAATGAGGGCGAAGGAGGCCTCCCGTAAGGACTTCTTCTCGTCCAAGATGATGGGCTCCGCCGCCGGCTCAGTGTCGGGCGCCTCGGGCACAGGGTCCGGTGACGAGGGCGAGTACTACCACAACTTCAACCCGATCCGCACGGGGGGAATGCTGGCGCCCCACGGGAAGGCTATCGCGCCGGCCTCGATCAAGGCGGTCTCTCCAACCCCGTCTCAGACCAAGGTTTGTCGGTGCTACTGTAGTGACAATTGTTTTTTTTTTGCTAGAAGCGGTCTCTCCGACCCCGTCTCAGATGAAGGTTTGTCGGTGTTGCCGTCATCACTCATCGTTTTTTTTTATTTTGCTTGCTAGAAGCACAAAGAAAGGGCATAGTTTTGTCTTTTGTTGGCAGGTACAAGTTGTGGTCGAAGATAACGTACTGTAGCGATGGATTTTAGCTCTTGTTGCATTGTGTGGGTACCTTTAATTTATTTTGCGCTTTTGCGCCCCGACTCACCCTGTGTTCCCTTCTCTCTCTTCTATGCCTTTCAGCAAACGGAGCTTTTCACGAACCTGATGGAAGCTACACCGCCCCGGGGCGACCCCATCTACACGGAGATGATCGGAACCCTGGGACTGTTCGGTACCTTCTACATGTCCAAGGAAGACATGGACTTCTGCGCCATGCGGCTGTACAGCAACTTCAAGCAAGCCCAGGAGAACATGGAGCGCCACGCTATCCTGGACTCAATCGATGTATGTAGACGGAGAGACTAAAAGAGACAGCACGATTTTTTTTTTTTTTTGCGTCTTTTCCCCACGGAACGGTTTTGGGAGGTTGTCCGTCACATTGGGAGGTGGGGCTCCGGTGTTCCAATAATCGGCGCGCCCGTGTTTGGTCGTCGTTTTCCAATGTCACCAACGCCATATCTCTCTCGCGCACGTCTGTGTGTGCATTGTCTTTTCCTTTTTCTCAGGTCATGCCCGAGATCTACGATATCCTGCGACACTGCGAAGACAGCCACCTGACGGCGGACGAGAAGTCTCTGCTCGCTACGCAGCTGGCGCCACACTGGACGAACTCGGAGGAAGCGAGGCGGGCTCTAGAGACGGCGGTTGTGTACACGGAGGCCGAGGAGGAGGCGGAGTTCTGGCAGGGTTTGCAGGCAAGTTTAGCGGCGTTTTTTTTTGCTGTCTAAGCGGGGGTCTATTATTTCATTGGTGCGTGCGCCATGTTGTCACGTTTTGCATTTTCGATCGCCGTCCCACTGCTGTGAACCAAAACCCTGACCTGCGACCGGCGGGCACGCTCCCGTGCGTTTGTAGTTTTCTCCAACAACCATCGCTTAGGCCTTGGCTCTTGTGCTGCTGCCTCCTTGACTGGTGCACGTTTTATCATATTTTTTTGCTTTCTTGTGCGCAGGCTGCAACCGACTCCCTGTCGAGGTACGACCAGATCATCGTGACGGCGCGAATCGTGCTCATGTTCGACGGCAGCAGCGGGCAGTCGGCGGCCATCCGCGAGGCCGTTCCCCTGTTCCAGCAGGTGTACAAGATCATCCGGGGGAAGTGCCCGCAGTGGCACGAGGGGAACGTGCAGCTGATGGGGGTGTCCCTGGCCATCACGTTCCTGGAGTACGGGTTCAATTCGCAGACGTTGGGGGTGGATGCCCAGAGGTGAGGGGGGGGGGGGGGGGTTGTCATGTGGACCCCTTCGGGACCCGAAGCATCCAAGCAGTGTACAGCAGCAGTGTTTCGCCCCTCTAACATTGCGACACTGGGATGAATGCAAGTGTACCAATTGGCCGCAATATTATGTCGGACCGTCATTCATAGCTGAACGTGGCCGATCTGATCTTTGATGTGTCGTGCTTGCTCTCGTTGAAAATGTACGAAATCAGCACGACCCTGGACTGGGTCCACGGGCTTCAGCCGGACGACCTGGAGAAGTTCTTGGCCGAGAAGAAGGACCAGCGCATGAGAGTCCTGTGTCTCGACCTCGAGCCCACTGGTATCCCCCAGCAGGTGTGTGGCTGGTGGCTGGTGTGTGTGTCTTTATTTTGAGCATCGACCGCGCTACCCGTCTGACCAATGAAAAGATGCCAATCTTCGTGCGGTTGTGTGTGTGTGTGTTTTGGTGTGTTTTGGTGTGTGTGGGTTGATTTGAATTGATTTGAATTACAGCCGTGGCTCCGGCATAAGAGGGTAGTGTGACAAGCGCCCTCAATCCTCGTTTATCGGAGCCCCCTCTTTTTCCGGAATATGAGGGTCCCAAAGTATGCCTTTAGTGGGTCAGGTCCGTGACAACCCATTTCAACCGTCTTGCATCGGAGCCACCACTGTAGTATTTTGTTGTGTTGATTTGATTTGATTTAGCATGGACCGGTCGAGCCGGCTGAGTACTGGACACTGACGCGTCACCAGTGTTTCGTCACGTGAAGGCTAGTCTAGAAATTAAATTTTTCTTGTTGGCCGACTTGACCTGACGTGACTGACCATCCTTCCGACCTCTTCTCCTTGCCTTCGTTGTTGCTGAATGCTGGCACTGGCAGGCCTTGCGAGACAACGACGAGGTGATAAGAGCTGCCAACTCTTTGCAATCGGAGTCGTCGCCGACCAGTTCGGCGCAAATGGAACTCCCCTTCCAAGGGGCGGATGACGAGGTGAGTGGTTCGTTGTTCGAGGGGGGGGGGGGGGGTGAACGTGAACCGCTTGGATGGGCCCTCTTTGGATGTGGTTGCTCTCTACTTGCTTGTTCAAATATCGTGCTGAACCAGCAGGGCCGTTGTGCGCTCTCCCTGATCATGTCTGTTCTCTACTTGGTACCACTGTAAAGCGGTTGGCGCGCTATGAGAGGAGTTCACGCGGCGGAAAATGTGGATTCATCTTACCGTGGACGCTTCCGTTTTTCCGTGCCTTTTCTTCGCTGTGCAGACTCCGTCGTCGGCGATGTCCCCCCAGGGGCTCATGTCGATGCACGACCAGCCATTCGACGACCAGAGCCTGAGCTACGGGAGCATGCCGGGCAGCCCGGGTTCCTCGCTGCTCAGCTCCAACCTGCACACGAACAGGGAGGCGATGCGGCAGGCCAGGGGCGGCGTGCGGGACAGCGCGTCGGGCAGCGTCATAACCAGCAGTAGCAACTACAGCGAGGAAGAGCAGTGAGTTTCTCGCTTTTGTTGCTTTTGTCTCTGCTGTAGTGCACATTATGTTGTGTGTGTGTTTTTCGGGATTTCTTTACGTCATGGTCGTCGAAATATTTCAGGTGCTCGGTTTTCGCGTCCTAAGAGCATAGAGAAGTATTAAGTAGCAGCAGCGCCTCCTAACCAACCTTGCGGTATTTCCCTGTCGTCCTCGTACCCTATCAGGAGTGAGGTGCCCGAGAGCCCACTCAGCCGAATGAGCGCCCACAGCTACGGCCCGAGCAGTATGGCATCCTCCGCGCAGGCCGGCGGCCGCGGCAGCGGGGGCGTCCGCCGCCATGGCACCTCGCCCATCGACGCCCGTCAGGTGTTCGAATCGGGCTCGACCACGAGCCAGAGCGAATCGGAGGGAAGGCACCGCGGCATGTCGCGAGGCACTAGCCAGGACAGCGAGGAGGTAGGCGGTGGCTTCCGCAGCGGCAGCGGCAGCGGGCACCGGAGCGGTGTCGAAGGCGGCGGCTTCCGCAGCGGCAGCGGCAGCGGCAGCGGGCGCCGGAGCGGTCTGGAAAGCGGCCACTTCCGCAGCGGCAGCGGCAGCGGCAGCGGGCGCCGGAGCGGTCTCGGAAGCGGCCGCGGCCCGCAACGGCAGCGGCAGCA